CCCCACCCCCACCCCCACCCACCCACACCCACACCCACCCACACACACACACACACACACACACACACACACACACACATGGCTAAGTGTTGCAATTCGCAGTGGATTCTGGCATGGTCGGACTAGCTGCCTGTGTTCTGGGATAGTCATCCAAACGTCCTAAACCTGGAATATGTGGCCAGAACAGGGGGGTCATTATAAAAATCATTATCATTATCATAATCATAATAACAGTTATTACTATTACTATTATTATTATGTATTATTATTGTTATTAATATTATGTATTATGCATTATGTATTATGTATTATGTATTATTATTTTTAATATTATTATTACTATTATTATTACTATTATTATTACTATTATTATTATTATTACTTTTGTTAGTATTTATTTTTCTAAATGTTTTTTTGGCTGCAGTGGTGGGTGGGTGAGGTGCAGGGGGGTGCGTGTGGCTGGGGGCGGCGGGAGGGGGGGGGGGCGGCCCAAGTCTTTGCATACAAGTGCGCTTCGAAGAAATACCCCCCTCCAAAACCCACCTCAGAAACCAAGCTGGTAAAAATTGCGCCTCCGGAAATCGTGTCCCCGCTAAACTGTTGTGCGCATTTTGTTCATGATACCTGTTCCTACCTCTCAAAATCCTGTTCCTGCCACACTCCCGCGTATGTTTTGAGGTACGACTCGTGTTAACCCTTCAGTTGTTTTGATGCCACATGACCTATCTGAAGGCCCTGCAGATGATGGTTGTTTATTAAGGCTTATGGGTTTGATGTGAGGGTTTGGGGTTAGGATGCTAAGCAGAAGGTTAGAAGGTTTGGAGGCCACCCCCTCTGCATTTTGGCTGTGAAATACTTCTAGAGTGCGCCCGTTCAACCCACAAATGCACCAAGGTTACATCATAGCGTAGAAGTCTTCATACTTGGTCTCTATATGTTCTTAAACACGTTGTACGAAAATCCAGGAAATCCGATAGAAACACAGAAAGTAAGCCTGCTGTAATCAAGGCACAAATTTTCTTCAGGGTCCCCGCAACCTTGAAGCTTACCAAGATTTCTCAACATCCTTCTATAGAGGTCTGAGTATTTGGTGACAACATATTCCCTCCCTGGAAGCTCCTAAACACGATGTACCATGCATCATATGTTAAGTGTTTGGGCCCTTGTATAAAGACCTCAACAACCTCATAGATCTCTGTAAAGGAACCATAGTCGAATTACCACGGCAGCTGCAAACCGAGCGTGCCAGACAAACGGCACATAATGAAGTGTTGTTCACTACGGCCGCGACAGGGAAGGTCTATGACAGCAGACGTGATTGCTACCACATTCGTACGAATAGCTCTGTTAAAAGTATGAGGCCCGAGGCCCTGTCGTGACTGAATTTCCGAGTCAGGAACGATGAGCGGAGTGAAGTTTTGTACAGCTGTCTGAGTGTCTGACCCCCTACGCTCCTTACATACACTGATCCTACACTCCTTACATACACTGATCTCGCAACGCTTGAGCCCGATCAAAAGACCTGTTTTCTTAGTGAATCCAATCTTAGTGAAGTGATTCCCTGCTTGGAGGACGACATCGCAGTCTCGGAACGCACATTAGCCGGGTGCTGTCGTTGACATTGGACAAGTGGGATCGTGGTGAATATGATTGTTGGCCGCATGGTCGTGCGGTTTACTACGGTTGAATGAGTTATAGTGAGCCGTAGTGAGAGAAAGATACACAATGACGCTGCGCCTAAGGAGAGGATGCTTCAAAATGGGAATGAGCATGTTCCTACTCTGAATGCTCGAGGACTGTTGCTTGGTCTACGAGTGTTGTGTTCTCTTGACAAAGGTCAACGTCGAGCTGGAGTACAGACTTCCCCACGGCTTTAACAAGCCAACGGAGTCGGGTACCAGATTTGCCCCTGGACACATCAGCTATGTTGCAATCTCTACGTCATCTTCGCTTGCATGGAGGGCAGATCCCAATAGCGGGTCACTTGAGGTGAACTTCGCAGAAGCTTTGGACGTTTTCGTTCGCGCCGGTGGCTGCAATGGAGACAAGATATGGGTTGCATATCCACGGAGTTCAGTTGATGTGAAGACTCGAGAAACTTCTTCAGCCATCGCTCCAGGTTCCAAATATCAAGAGAGGAGTTTCACAAGGAATGGTAGTGGCAAATTGGTGGAGAGCCTTTGCTGCAAGTGTTAGTATCTGCGAGCCTAAATCGGCAAACCTTGAACCTTAAAGTTTGCGGCGGTGGCAACCACGCACATCCTCATCGGACACACACAGAGAAACCGCGGAGTGCATGTGCTGGGTTCGAATCAGGCGACTTGCGCAGGCAGTGATGGCAGAAACTCTGGTGCCACGTAGCGTGCCCATCCGTGAAGGTCTGGTTTCCTCATTTCGATACCATCCCCTCCCGCACCTACCTGACCCTGCGTGGTTTCTGAAAGTTTGCTAACACCTCCACTGTTCCGCGCTGCTGGGACCAGTGTGGATAATCATTATAACTCGGTACGCGCTGGCCGGCTGTGACCCAGTGCATTTTAACAATGCGTCTTAATATTGCTTGCCACTCACCCAGCACTTCTGAGTCTTTGCGCTTGCTGAGACTGTTGCTCGGGTAAATGCGCCCCTATCAGTGATTGTGCTCATGGTCAAACTGTCATGCGCATACGGAATGAGGTCAAGCTTATCTGGCTCGGTCACGACAGTGGAGTCAGTCGAGTTCTGCAACCAAGCAGCAACTCGAAAAGGGACATTCCCGACAGGGTTGTTTCTAAAACCTCAGGAGGGGGCCCGAAGGGACAAGTTTTGAAACACAACGTGAAAGATGCGTCGATGTCCATAGATAGTCATAAGTTCATAAAGAAGAGGCCTAGAGTGCTGAAAGAGGCTGCTATCTGGTCTTTGCGGCAATGTCTCTGGTTTAGGTGCTGTGTGATAATCGATGTGAGCCGAAGAGTTAACTTAGTGTTGAGGTGTGTCACACGGCCCACTTTTCCACCTGTGAGGTGGCGTGGTCATGGTGAAGGTGAAGTCCGTGTCAGCCTTAGCAAGTCATGGTCATTGGTGTGGGTTTCCGGCGGCTGTGTCGCGGTTCGTGAGGCTCGACAGCTCATAGCCTTGGACCTTACCACCCAGAGCGATCCGTATGTCGTGGCAGAACCTTGTCAGCAATCTGGTCGTGGCATTGGGTCGTGCGCACACTAGAGTCGCTTGAGCACGTAGAAACCAGGAGCTTGTTGGCGGACAGCAGCGCGTCCGCACAAGAGCCATCAAGAACTGTGCTGATCCCGTTTGGGTCTCGCCCTCAGCTTCAATGACGCCTGAGCAGCTCTATCAGCACAACACATGCATGACGGCTCGGAGCACTTACTGGAAATAGGCTGCAGCCGTTCAGCCAAGGATGAGACGCTTATGCTCAACATTCGGAACCCGAATGTAGATATTCTTCGGCTTTGCGTTTGGGATGCGGACACCTTCAGTCAGGACATGGCTCAGCAGTCGTGAAGCTTTAGGCTAGTGGCTCTGTTTGGCCGTTGTCAGAAGTAATTTAACGGTTTGCGAGGATGATGCCATCGGGCAGTGCGATGGGTCCCCAGCACATGCGCTAGGCGAGAAGGGCAGAAGGGGAATGCAGCTGTGCACCCCTTTCGTGCTGAGGATATCCCTCTTCGAGAAGTTCTGCGGCGTAGTAAGGAGAACCTATCTTTCTCCCAACCGGCGGTTTTCGACGATCAGACGCATGGCTCAGGATTCATATAGGCAGTACGATGAACCGTTGAGTATAGCAAGATCAGGCAGGTTCAGTGCGGAAACTCCAATTTGCTGGTGCTGAGTGCGCAATTCCTGTTGCAGAGTGCAAGCTGCCAAGCATGACCGGTCAATTCATGCTTACAGTCGTGTCGGGGAGTGACAAAGGTTTTGGCCTTTGCCCAGCACAGCGGAGTTTCGCGTTCTTGACTGCTCATTCCGTGCTCAACGCCGCTGCGCAATACAGTATGGCAAACACGGGTAGGACTCCCGCAGGTGCCTCCCGGAATCATGCCCCCGCCTGGCGCCAGTGCTAGACTTGATGCATCTGCAATATCTGTACTGTAAAGGCTACAACAGATTCTTGAAGCCTGGCTTGACAACTCTAGATAGCGGCACTTCTGTGCTGTGCTCTTGCCGGCCATGCCTCAGGAAGTTGTCTGGCGGTGACGGCCATTCCTGCATTTGCATTCGGCTTCTTCAAAGAAACAAGCCACGCGGATATATCAGTGTAGAGCTTACATACCAGCCTCTGGATTGAGGCGATGTAGGCATTCTGGTGATGATGGTGGTGCAAAGACTGTGCGTGCCATCACTCACATGTACATACCCTTGCCGCAAACAGTCAGCGGCAAGGTCTGCGGAGCGCATGCTCGCGTGTAAGCTTTGTTTAAACGACGGCGAGCTGAGCGGCGATCAGCACATTCGGGGACCTTTCCTGTTATTCAATTGGCCTGTGAGACCCTGTGGCAGGATGAGCGCACAATGACTGCAGCCATGGAGTGCTCCTCTACACTCCGCTGAGGCTTGGCCAAGCAGCCACCTTGTATTCGACGGAAACGTTGAGGTACAGGAGCGGGCGGCCCACATATCGACTAGCCACGAACACCGTGCTGATGCTTATCTTCTGTCTTCGTGTTCTTGGACGACTCTCTTTTGGACGGGTAGAGAGTGCCGCGATTGATGCGGGTACATGCGGGTACCAAGGTTGGAGAGTCTCATGCAATGGAGACTGCTGAGCGGCTTGGACTGCCTGCCCCGCTTGTCTCTTGCTCAGAAGCTTACCAGCAAGTCCAAGCACAGCTTCATCTCACGACTGCAGAGGTGGCTCGTGCGGTGCAGCTGCTGGGTGATGATCAGAGGCAGCTACTGGCGTTGCAGCGCAAGGCCAGGGATCGGGGCTTGGAATCTGCCGTTGTCCGCGGTCACTGTGTGGTGAGTGACAGGCCGCCGACGCAGAGAAGGCCATGTCACTGTCATGCCACAGGTACACTTTCATCTAGTACCCGAGATGTTGAGGACTTCGAGTCTGCACGAATGGATGCCGAGCAAAGAGAGGCCCAGACTCAACACCAGCGCGGCCCTACCAACGCTGCAGAGATGGTGCAGCTTTCAGGCTGCAGCATCCACAGCAATCAGAGAAGCGGAAACGAAGGCGTTCGGGTCGGAAAAAAGGTGGTTTTCTCGGAGATTCTGTGGCCTGCGCACGCGTGGCAGGCAGCGGAGCTGTCTCGGCGAGAGCAGGAAGTGGCTGAAATGGAGGCAACGTAGCGGTGCTGTCAGACTGCATTTCCTGCTGTCGCAATGCGTCATAGCTGCACGCGCAGTGGCAGTTTGGTATCCGAGACGGTAAACTGCAATATTTCGCTTCTTCACCCACCTGTCACTCGTACCCGGTAACGTGACGGAAAAGGGAGGGCCTCCTGGGCGAATGAAACCGCTGCTGACTGCATCCGTCTGCCTGCGCGGAAGAGAAGTCAAAGTGTATAGTATATAGGCAGAACGACCGTTGCATCATGTACCGTGAGCGTAGAAGAAGCTTGTTCCAGCAGCTCAAGTGCATCATGGAGCTGAGATGCAGCTGCAGCGTTCCGCCACTCGGGTCCTTCGGAGTCAGAGTCCCCATCTCCGTCCGTTTTGCTTATTCGCTTCTTCGACAAAGTTTGACCCGTTCCGGAAAGGCCAAGCTGCAGGCCCGAACCGTGGCTTTGCAGAGGCAGATGCAAGCCGAGCTGCAGGCAAGTCAATCTTTTGCATGGCGTTGCTGTGACACGGCTTGGTAAAGTTCATCGCGAGGCCCAGATTGCCGTGAAGGAGAAGCAGTTTCAGGCTGTCCAATGCACTTCCACAGCTTGAATTTGTCTTGCGATGCATGAACTGCGTAAGGGGCATTACGTGCTAACACTAGGGCGGCGGGTGGGAGTTTGCACTGTGTGCACTTTTGATGGCTTTCTGGTTGATTTTGCCATTGCCAGGATGTTGTCCAACGCCTGAAGCTGGACTGAGACTGTTGCATTTCTTTCGAAGCGCTTCCGGACGTCATCCGACAGTTGATGCAGTGCTCCAGGAGACGCAGAAGCTAGGTTCTCGCTTCCGAATAGTTGGTGATGTGCTGGAGGACGTTATTACTGTCAGTGGTGATCTTGCAATACTGCAGTCGTCCGATTTGGTGCAATGCGTGGATGGTTGCCAGGATCTGAAAGTCGAGGTAGATCAGGAAGCAGAGGAACGATTGCTCACACCGGAAGCACCAGTGGACAGTTGTTCGTTTTTCCACAGTTCATGAAGCAGCAACAGCAGCATGCAAATACTCTGATTTGTCAATAGTCCTGTGGCGTGTGGCAGGCGAAATACCAAGCTCAAAACCATCTTCAGCCGCGCTGGCCTCTGACTGGAGTGCTGATTACATGGAGTGCTTGATGCAAGGGAGAGGGGGAGCGAAGCGTTAGCGTCACGGTACGATGCGCAGGGCTGTGCCTGGCGCGCAGGGGGCCCAGCGTGCACCCTTCGCGCGACTGGGCAGCAGGTCTTCCAGGTTCTCACGATCTTATGCCACCGAGGATGGCCGCCCGAGAGATCTTGAGCAATTGCCGGCATGTCTTTTAAGCTCTCGCCTCTGCAGCTTTGGTGTATTTTTGCCTTGCAGCAGGCCCAGGTGATTGGGTGGTGGTCCTCGCAAAACCTCCCTGGCCGGATTCTCTTTTGCTTCCCTGCAAGCCAGTGTTAAAAGAGATCGTCGTCGATCTGAGGCATGGCCTCAAGGCGGGAGAAAGTGCCCGTGATGCCCTGAAAACCCATCGCCATTGGCGCAGGGCCAAGTGGAAAGGATTCATTTGGCCAACGGTGCTGCTCCTCGTGTTTCGGTCAGACTGGGTGCGCCGGGCTCTTGCAAAAGGCTTTGCAAGCTCTACACTACACGCGAGTCATGCAAACCACAGCAACAAGGAATGGCAAAGTCAAGGAGTTCCTAAAGACTGAGCTTGGAAGGAGCGATAGCCGTTTCGGATAAATGTGCAGTACCTGTAGAACCCGGGCGATTGGGGGTCTGCACGCACACAGGTTTTCCTGCTTCACCTGCAAAGTGAAACAGAAGTCTAGTCTCGGCATGGTGTTTCAACAGCTGCTTATGCCTTTCCCTTGGGAAGGACATCAAAGCCTGAAGGGGCACGGAAAATCCCGAAGCCCAAGGGGGAGGCCCATGTCCAACCTGCAAGAAGGGGTCATTCTCTTACCTACCGCAGGCCGCCGCGCCCACTCGTGATTACAGCCGCTCGGCAAAATTCGCACTTGTTGCCTCAACGGCAAGGCTAGCCTTAGTTCTGCCTTCTGGCCTCAGGTGCGATGGCCTTCTGAGCTTGTCGGTCAGACATTAAGTTGTTTAAATTCAGCTCGTTGTTGAGTAAGGAGGACCTCACTCTTCATGTTCGTGCTTCTTTCTGCGAGTGTCAGTGGAGCTACGAACCTTCGAGTCACGGTATTCAGCTGGATTCCTTCCACAACGATGGCAATTCAAGTTTTCTGCGGCTGCTAAAGTAGCCCTGCACTGAGACCTGTGCTTCGGACAATTTTCTGTGCACCTCTCGCGAAGTAAAGACAGCCTTGAGTTGTGCTGGTTCGGTTGAACAACCTATCTATCCAACCAAGATGTATTTGTGCCTGTGCCTAAGTCTTTTTGTAATTCAAGCTAGCGCAGGATCCGGTTGTGCCATGGCTCGCGTGCTGCTCGCTGCCT